GCCCAGTGGCCAAAGTCCACATCGCGCCACACATTCCCAGGTTCTCCCAGGATGGCATTCCGTGACACATAGTAATGCATCCACACAAAAATGTCATACACTGAGACATTTGAAAAGATTGGGTTGGATCCGTTCTCCATCTGTGCGTAGGGGGCAGTGGCCACAACGTAGTCCCTGCTGATGGTGTGTTTGGCCAAGTTCAGATAAGAGATGAATCGGATTCTCTCAGATCTGGAAAGGTGGAAGATGTTCCTTCGCAGTGACTCTCTCCTCTCACTGCAGTCTTCTCCAAAGTATCCAAACTTACAGTCAGCGCAGTTAAAACCCATGAAGTTCCCAGTGCACTGACAGGTGCGGTTGTAGAAAACCAGTGGCCACTTCTCTCTGTCGTCCAGTCCGGAGAACGGGTACTGAGGCCCGTCGGGCTGGTCAGAAACCTCCACATCCTGACAGAAGCCTCGACCTGAGTTCATTCCACAGAGAGACCCATCGCCTTCCCACTCAGGGCAGCACTCTTTGGTGAGCAAGGCCTCGCGCGTTGTACACAGACGTGGAAATTGTTGAAAAGTGGGAACAAAATGCAGCATGAGTGAAAAAAGGATCAGAGGCGACATAACAGTTGGAGAAAAGAAGGAGTTGGCAGAGCGAGAAATCAGACAAAGTGGTGAAACTCATGTGATGCTGTTCAGCCTTTAAATACTCAGGATTTCTCCCTGTGCCCCATCCCACTCCTCCCCCTCTTTCTTCTGATAGTCACATGCTGCTTAACCCCAGGTTAAAGTTTCCACATTAATGTTGACTGTGAGCCCAGATAAAGATTAGGGCTAAAGACAAAACTCACAACTTTAGATGAGGGTTGACCTCATCAAAGGTAGGAATTTTTATGAGCAAAGCAGATGAACCCCGAGGTCAGAAGATGAGCATAAACACAGTGGATCCGTTGTCCATCGCATTTTTATACACACCCTTCGTCCTTGCAATGATTTTCATTTTGTCCCAGAATATTAAAGTTTTAATGAATACGAGGAAAAGTTGGCACAAATCTCTAATAAATTGATAATAATAAAATAATAATAATATATAGTAAAAAAGAAATAATAATATATATAAATACATTTTATGATAAATTAATAATTGATGATGTAAATAGCGGAATGTGCGATGTTTCGTATATTTAATTAGTATATAGACCTTAAAAAAAGTGTTTGAAAAAAATACCACTTTAAAAGAATACCAGGCATTGTGGTGGTGATTTATCTCATATGATCGTTTCCGCCGCGGGTGTTCTGTCCTAAAACATTTGAATGTGAATTGCCACAACAAAAGAACAAATGCATTCAAAGTAGCCGCTAGGAGGCGGTATCTCCCCACGTGCAGCCCTGTGTGCGTTTATACAGTATGATTACGTTTTACTGCAGGCGACTTACAATGAAACTGAATTCTTACAACCGATGCTTCTCCGTAAGGTTAATGAGTCTCGAACCCAAAAAAGCAAACAACAACGACTCTCTGTTATTATGCACAGCCAGACGTCATCTGACCGACACGACATTTCACCCGTGACTCCGTCAGTACAATTGTGAAGAGCTCAGTAGCACCACAACACACAAATAGTGACGTTTCTCTCATCACGGGGATCTGTGAGTTATTGTTTGATTTGTTCCGGATGGTGTTTAAAACAAAAAACAAAAAACTTTCATATTCATGTGTGTTTTCCTGTCATTTGGGTCATTTTATTTCAGTTAATATTTGTTGTTTCATTGCTTTTAACTTTTAGGCGTATAAGTAGTTACATGGTAGTTATAACTACTATATTTATATATGTGAGAGAGAAAACTTCGACCTGGGTTTTGATGAAATCATAATTTATATCATTGTAAATTTTATATAAAAATGTGGGTTGAGGTGGTATTTTAAGCTCGAGGTAGTTTTGTGAAACAAAAACATTTTCGTGCAATGTGTGCAAAGATTAGTATGTCTATGTGTGTGTGTATATATATATATATATATAGCACATATATTATTTATTTATTTATTTTTTACTGTTATTAGAGTGTAAAAAAGAGTTGGAAAAATAAGGTTGGGTATTAGGAGAGGGTCTAACAGGGTTCTTTCTTCAGGGAGTGAACCGGTTCGACACCATTCCATCCACCCTTGGAGTGAATTTCCATCTGCAGGCTGCTGCATGCATCTGTTGCTTAAAATAGTTCCAGTATCCTCACTCACAACTGTCATCAATTTTCCACCAGATCTTTTTTTTTCTTCTTCTTTTTGTGCTTCCAGTGTTGATGTGCTGCACTTTCTTATGTTTGGAGTAGTAACGTAGGAGGAGGAGGCGGAGGTGGCAGAGGAAAGAGGGAGAGGAAGAGAAGGAGGAGGAGGAGTGAACGTCAGTAAGTCAAACATGTTCCAATAACTGTGCACATTATATGCTGCTATTTGCAGTTTGCTGTAACCAGGCACAGAGACGGAGCCTGAGCAGAAACCTGCGGCAGCTTTCCTTTCTCTCTTGTCTTGTTGCTCCGCTGTGATGGAGATGTGCTCAGAGGAAATGACAGAAATGTGGCAGCAGGAAGAAAAGAGGTAAGGATGAAGTTTTTTTTTCTTTTTTTTTTCCCTCTCACTCAGTTTGAGACCAGATTGTTTGAGGACAGACGAGGGATGTGAGCTGCAGCAGCAGCAGCACAGGTGTCTGTTTTACTTTATACCTGCAACATCATTTCAGCACCATGGACAGATATAACAACTGTGGGTTTTTTTTTAGATGATTTCTCACATTCTTGACATTTTCTTTATTGCTTTTTACGTAAAAAAGAAAAACAGTCAGTTATGTTAATAACCTTACATTGTATTTTCCCAATTCCTGCCCTTCTTGTCTTCTTTCTTATTTGGTATTTGACAATCTTATATTGTCACCTCAACAGCAGTTTAAATTATTTCCAGCATATTTTTAAACATTGCTTGTCTGACTTTTTCTTTTTAAAGCTATTTTTATGTGTTTAAACTTCTATTTTTTAAGCACTTTGTTTAGGTTCAATTGCTGGTTTTGATAAAAATAAATGCCTGCCACGTCTTTAGCTGTTTTTCAAATTTTTTTTTGTTTCTGTTTATTATCATTGTTTTAATTTTTTATAATTATAATTATTTCTCTATTTTAGGGTTTTTTTTAGTCAACTCCTAGTGCTGTTTGACTAACCAGTTTTCATATTCTTTTCATATTCTTATCTGTTCTTTTAGCTAAATGTACTTTTTACTGAAGTCTGGCATATTTTGAAATATGCTAACCCGAATTCTCTGCCTCAGGAATCAAACCATTGCACCTAAAATGACAAACACCAAACCAAAGACGATCCGTTCATCAGAGCATTAGCTCGGAGAAGACAGAGGATGGCAGCGGCTGTGAAAAAGACCAAACCAGGTTTACACCCCAGATCACTGGTAGTCTGGATCCTCCTGGTGTCTGATCTGAGCTGGTTCAGACTGAAGCCCCAGGTCTGGGTCAGTGGCACTAACAATGAAAGAAGGGTACTGGCTCACATACCTGGTGACATCATTATTGGAGCTTTGTTCTCTGTTCACCATCAACCACCAGCAGATAAGGTACCGCCTGTGTTTGTGGCATTTTTTTTATCTTTGATTTAAAAGTGTTAAATCTTATAATCCAGCTGTTCTGTAACTGGTGTAGGTGCATGAGCGAAAGTGTGGAGCCGTCCGCGAGCAGTATGGGATCCAGAGAGTGGAGGCCATGATGTATACCCTGGACCGGATTAATGCAGACCCAATGATTCTCCCCAACATCACTCTGGGCTGTGAGATCAGGTTGGAAAACAAATCATCATGTGACTCTAGGCTTTAACTTTATATTGTGACATCTTAATTTAGCCGTCTGTTCAAGTGGGTTAAATGTTCACCAGTTTCCATCAAGAAGGTCACGGTTTTGATTTCTATATCTTAGATCTTTTTTTCCCCCCTCTGCTCTCTTATATTTCCCGCTCCAGGGATTCGTGCTGGCACTCCGCCGTGGCTCTGGAGCAGAGCATCGAATTCATCCGGGACACGCTGGTGTCCAACGAAGAGGAGGAGAACCAGGGCAAGTGTGTTGCAGAGGCCGGACAGAGTCTGCTGCTCCAGGCAAAAAAGCCCATCGTGGGTCTGATTGGTCCAGGATCCAGCTCTGTGGCCATCCAGGTCCAAAACCTCCTCCAACTCTTCAACATTCCACAGATCGCCTACTCTGCCACCAGCGTGGATCTAAGTGACAAGGTAAGACCTGTAAACAAGTGGAAAAAAAATAGATGTTAACTGTTACCAGAGACATATTATTATATTTGTGAAGCTAACAAGACATATCCTTACCGCAGAGCCTGTTTAAATATTTCATGAGGGTGGTGCCGTCAGACATGCAACAAGCCAGAGCCATGGTTGACATCGTCAAGAGATACAACTGGACCTACGTGTCTGCAATACACACTGAGGGTAAGACCCAAAATTATAACTGCTTTTCACAACCGCCAAGCTGTTTTTCTTTGTTTTCACAGAACAAATTTAGGAATAAATACTTGAAATATAAATGTCCCAAAGTGATTCTAAATAATTAAAAAAATTAAAGGCTTTGCTCGGACGTTGTAACATAGGTCTCAGACTGAAGTATTTATCTCTGCTATCATTGTTCTTTCAAATTTGCTTCAAAAAAGGGAAATCTTATCAATATTTGCACAGACTGAGAGAAGATTCCAAGTTTTGTCTGTGTTTTTGGCTTGTTCGCGTTATTGAAGAGAAACAATCAAGATATCAATTTATTTAACAGCATATCAAAGTAAAATTTGATATGAAATCCAGAGTGCTCCCAAATACATTTTGTAAAAGTTTGCTTTTTGCACTGGTAGTTCAGTTTCAGTTCCTTGCCTCAGCAAACTTATGACTTAGTAAAGTGGTTGTTTTACTTTGAAAACTGTGTCGTAAACAAAGTCTAAACAATGTGAAAAGTAAAAAGTAAAATGGGGAATCATTAAAAATTTAAAATAAAGCAGTTGCTGTTGAAATAGAAATGACAGGATCATCTGCAAAGGAGTTTAGAACCACGTTGAAAATCTGTGTTAGATGAAAGCTTTAGTAAACCTGTGTGAAGGCATGTCACACGTGGGAGTCAAAGTCACACGTATGTGTAGAGGATGCTTCCAGCAGAGTGACGGCGAACTCACAAAGCCACAGAAAGTAGGTGACCTGATTTTCAGAGATGTTTCACAGTGACAGCGTTCATAAACATCCAGATTTGTTTGTGTCACGTTTCCATAAATGTGTCTCAAAATAAGACACAAATGAGCTGAAAATATGTGTAAAACCAACAACAAATAAACAACAACATTACAACTTTTTTTTCGGATATAAAGTTTGCTCAGTGTTAGTTTGGACATTTTCTTATATTCATGGTTAAACATTTTGTGTATTGGGGGCTAATAGTTTACTTTAAGATAACTTTTTATTACATTATTATAACATTATATAGTTTACTTTAAGATAACTTTTTATTTTTAAACATTTGTTTATGGCTAATTTTACCTACCTTTCTAGTTTAGTTGTTATCAGGAGAAAATGTACAATTTTCTTTACTGTTTCTGTTCATATAAGGGAACTATGGAGAGAGTGGCATGGAAGCGTTTAAAGACATGGCAGCGAAGGAGGGCATCTGCATCGCCCACTCTGACAAGATCTACAGCAACGCTGGGCAGCAGGGCTTTGATAAGCTGCTACAGAAGCTACGAGGTCACCTGCCCAAAGCCAGGGTCGTGGCCTGTTTCTGTGAGGGAATGACGGTCCGGGGAATTCTGATGGCCATGAGACGACAGGGCCTGGTGGGAGAGTTTCTGCTGGTGGGAAGGTGAGTGGTGAGAGGAAGGAGGTCTGAGTGGATCAACGTGTGAAAGTGTCGCTAGGTCTCGCCTCACTCATTTGTTTGTACTTAATGTTTCCTCAGTCTCATTCATCAGCTTTTTTTTTTAATTCAGATTTTCTGCAGATGTCTGAGATCATCCATTATCATCAGCCATCGTCATCATCATTCTTCTCATCATGTTAATTATCGCTGACAGATTTTTGGTGGTCTCTAAGAATCTTAAGGTATGTTTTATAAACTCCTACAATCATTTGACCTTAGACAGTCTTTGTCTTCGTCGTCTTCCTGTGAGACTTGTTCTTGCCTGATTGCATTTCAACTAATTTGGTGTATATTAAATAATTAAGTTAAAGTGGTTGATATAGAAAAAAAGTGAAAATATTTAGTTTAAATAAAGATTTTTTTCCATTATGTCATAGCTCAGGAATAGGTGGCATTTAAAAAAAAAACAACATTCACATGCTGTGCCTTTAACTTGTATGACATTTGTGCTTAAAAAACCGGGAGGAAGGAAAAAACGCGTAGTAAAGAGGGGGTTGGTTTAGCAGGAGGTCTCACTCTCTCCCAGAATATAGTTTTATTTTAAGGTCTCCTTCTCTGGCTGGCTCTCGTCCCCGCTGTTCTATAAATGTCTTTCCTCATTAACAGCCACATATGGAGTCTGTCACTCAAACATGATGGAGGGAAAGAAAATAACCTTGAACTACATATTGCACACAAAAAGTCCTGTCTTATCCAGAGCTCTCAGACAGGTGTGAGGTCGTCTGCTCATTATTATAACTTATGTCCATAATAATGAGGTTTTTTGACGACTTAGACTAGATTTAATTCTGACTCATTCTGAATCCAACTACCAGTAAAAAAAAAGCATGTTATACTTGTGCATCATTAGAATGTTCTTTCCTAATATGGAAAGAGACAGAGTGGAGAACACGAGAAACTGTTTGTTCTTCTGATTAACAGTCTGTAGCCAATTTATAGTAATGAACACTGTTTTTTAGTGTTCTAAATACGTGGGACAGAGTTGCTTTTAATTTTGGCGTGGCATGTGTGATCTAAAAGCTAAATAAAAATTCCTGCACAATGTCTATTCTCATTGAACAAAGGAAAATAAATGACAAACCATCACAGTTTCACTGCTTTGGCACAAACCATAAAAAACCCCAATTATTTTCATTTGCATTTTTTTATAGTTAAATGTCACTGCTTTGGCACAAACCATAAAAAAAACCCAATTATTTTCATTTGCAGTTTTTTTTTTATAGTTAAATGATTTTAGAACAGTGGGAATTATTTTCATTTGCAGTTTTTTTTTTTATAGTTAAATTATTTTGGAATGAGTGGAATCCTCATTTCCCATATTATTATGGAAAACAGTTGTATAATTACGTCTCCAATTACTGTCTGTAAATATCTGCTGCATGGTAATCAGCTGCTGTGATTGGAGGAAAAATGTCTTCTCTTCTTTTTGTTTTTCAATTTTGTTGAAGCGGCCGGTGTAACAATGAGATCTTCGACTGAACTTCCTTTGTTGATTACTCTTTTTCTCAGCTCCTGAAGAAAAAAAAGAAGCCCTGAAAATGCAGCAATCTTATCTTTTTTCTCACCCAGGCTGTTTTCTATTTTTTCTTTCCTATTTTCTTTTGAATTGTCGGCACCCGTTTACTCATGCCCACTGTTTGAGAGTCCTCTCGAAGAAGAAGAGCTGTAGCTGGAAACTCCACCGGTGCAGCTCGGCCAGGGTGAAATAAGAACACTTGTGAGTCTTCTGGCTCGTAGGTGGTGCAGCGGCACGCTGCATCCAGCTCGCTGCCCTCCCAGGTCGATGTGTGGGATTGGTAGCTCTCGTTCAAGAGTGATTCAAACCATCCAGAGAGTTGAAGCCCCTGTTTTTTTTTTTACATTTTTTCCCTGTTCTGTGCCAGTCTCTCATTTCCATGCTCGCTTCTCTAAGGATGTGTTATGAAATGATCTCCTACCTCAACCAAAGGAGCAGGCATCATCAGACGCCCACGCCGCTGTTGTGTAACTCCAAAGAAGTTTTCCAGAGATGACTTATTTCTCTTTTATTTGTCGGTCAGAAATAGAAAATTCACGTTTTCTTTGTGTCGGTGAGGCTGTTTACATTTATGCAGGTGTAGAGGTGAGATCACAGAGGAGTAAATGAAAGAAAACATTTTTTTTTTTATAAAGGATTCATTGATGAAAGCTTATAGTCTGAGCCAGGAGTGGATTTGATCAAACAACAGATCAGACGTCTGCAGACACGCTCACCCTGCTGACATTTGCTGGTATTACACCATTTTACTGTCTCTTGCCTAACCCTTTTGGGGTTAATGCAGGAATTGGAGTCAATCTCGGCAGCCGTTGGTTGATGTTCGGTTACATGTGTGGACACTTCATTGGTCCATTACACACACTTTCAAACCTATGGTCAATTTAGGCAATTTCTGTTTTGTTTTTTTGTTTACCACATTTCGTACCATACCACATTGGCAGCACCATAAGTCTAAGAGAAGTGTTTCTTGTTGTGTTTTGATGTTCTTTTGTTTGACAGTGTGTATAGTGTTACAGGCTGTTCTCTAAGAAGTAACAAACAACTTGTAGTTTTTCACATGTTTCAAGAAGGCCAACAGATTCAGCGTCTCTTCACTCAGCACTCCATGTGTGTGTTTGTGTGTGTGGGCTGCAGTGTTAAGAAAATCTCTCCAAGCTGCTGAACATAAATTACAATACATTTTCTGTAATTACATATGCTCATAAATATTTAGGCTGCAGACTAGTTTTTTATTTATTTTTTAAGCTTTTCAGGCAAAAATCATAAATATTTAGGCTGCAGACTAGTTGAGCATTTTTAAGCTTTTCAGGCAAAAAAATCATCTCATTTTATCAGTGTCCGTTTCTACCCTTCAGTGACGGCTGGGCCGACAGGTACGATGTGACTGACGGCTTCCAGAGGGAGGCAGCAGGTGGCATCACCATAAAGCTGAAGTCTGCGTACGTCACCTGGTTTGATGATTACTACTTGAATCTGAAGCCAGACGCCAACCTGCGGAACCCCTGGTTTCCCGAGTTCTGGCAGCACCGCTTCCAGTGCAGGCTACGGGGGCATCCACAGGAGAGCGCCACCTACAACCGTTCATGCACATGTTAGTAGATGGGGGGCCACAGCCCACACATGGCCAACCAATTAAATGAACACGCCTCCTTGTTTAACAGATACACATATCCTTGATCTTAACAGGGAGAGAGTCTCTGCGCAATCAGTACGCTCAGGACACCAAGATGGGATTCGTCATCAATGCCATCTACTCCATGGCCTACGGCCTACACACCATGCAGCAGGCCCTGTGTCCAGGGGTTAAGGTAAGAGCGGGTTGTTTAGCCGGTATTTCTAACT